TTAAATCATGTGCAAAAGACTTAAGTCCTGTATTTCACGATATTTATAATAAGTCATTACAGACACAACATGTACCTAACCTCTGGAAAGATGCTGTGGTTGTCCCAGTTCCTAAACCTAGAGGTCCTAAAACCATTAATGATTTCAGGCCGGTTGCTCTGACTTCAGTTTTAATGAAGATTTTTGAGAAACTGGTCAGGTCTGAGATCTTGAGGCAGACTGAACGTGCTCTGGATCCAATGCAATTTGCGCATAGGCCTCATAGAGGAGTGGAGGATGCTACGGTCATTTGCTTTTTAGACATTTGGATGGGAATGGGACACACGCCAGACTTTTATTTATAGACTTCTCCTCGGCTTTTAACACAACCCAACCCCACATTTTGACCAGAAGGCTCTTAGAACAGTCTGAGTTAAGTAATAATCTGGTAGGTTGGATTCTTGACTTTTTAACAAATAGGACACAGAGAGTAAGGGACAATGGTATTTTGTCTGACCGGAAAAGCTCTTCTACAGGGTCTCCTCAAGGGTGTGTGTTGTCACCTTTATTGTTTATTCTTCGCACAAATATGTGTCAGAGCAGCTATGACAATATGCAGATGATTCGGTTATCGTCAAGTCTGCTGCAGGAGAATGAGATCAGCCACGGCCCAGTTATTGATGAGTGAGGAATCTTACCTCCGGCGTAATATATCAAAAACTAAAGATATGCTCATTGACTTTAGGAGGATCACTCATATGAATAAAGCTACTTTAATTAAAGGTCAGACTATTGAGTATGAGCAATCCTATAAACACCTTGGGACTATTATTGATGCAAAATTGAACGTGTGCAGCTGTGTGTAAAAAAAAGGTCAACGGCGCTTGTATCATTTAAGGAAATTATCACACTTTCATATCGACCGAACGCTAATGATCGTGTTTTATCATGCTTTTATTGAATCAGTTTTGTACTTTTCTTTGGTCGCATGGTTTGGTCACACATCCTTAAAAGCGAGAAATTCCTTAAACCAAATAGTTATCAGCATACTCGAAGCACAATATAGATGTTTTGGATTTTTCTTGGATTTTCTGTTTTTTATTTTCGTGCAAAGACCGTTTGTGTCTTATACTTTGCACTTTGTCTTTGACTGTCAGGTATAGATCTATGGACAAAAATGCTGGTCAGGACTAATGGGATGGAGTCTCCATTAAAACATACAATATGCATTACTAATTAAACATACTGATCTACTGACCAACATCATGGCTGGTATTAAATGGAGTTGTCAGGGACATCATACTGTAATTATAGGTTCAAAACATGTGATTTGATTCACACACGGTGTGAAAACAGATGTGTATGTGTTTGCATGCTCTCACACTCAAGATCTGATCTCCTTTGCGCAGTTCTCCGCTCAGGTGGCATAAAAGAAAAATCTATAATTTTGACCCATACAATGTATTGTTGTCTATTGCTACAAATATCCCCCAGCGACTTAACACTGCTTTTGTGCTCCAGGCTCACATATTGTTATTTCTATAAAGTCTTATAGTTTTATGGCTCAGCGATATGATAATATATGTCAATGACATAAATGATCAACCAGTTAAGATTTAGCTCTATTTAATGTTTCAGTAAAAAAATAAAATGCTGGTTGACAGTAATCACTTTTCCGTTACGGAATAAAAAAATAATAATAATTGCAACTTTTTGTTTCACAATTCTGATTTTTTTTCTCAGAATTGCAAGATATAAACTAAATAATAAAGTCACAATTGTGAAAAATGAACTTGCAATTCTGACTTTTATAAAGTCCAATTCTGAGGGAAAAAAGTCAGCTCACAATTCTGATATTTTCTTACAATTGCAAATTTATTTCATGCAATTCCGACTTTATAACTCACATTTGCGAGTTAACATCACGAAAGTTAAAATTGCAAGATATAAACTTGCAATTGCGAGAAAAAAAGTTGCGATTACCTGTTTATATTTTTTATTCAGTGGAGGAAACAAGCTTCCATACTTCTGAGAGCAACAAAGAAAGCATAACTAAATATGAAATCTTGAGTGTAACCAGTTGGTGCTGAATTTAGTTTGCAAACATTGTGGAGATTTTGTGAAATATTGTATAAGGTTTTCGCATTTTCTGCTCTAATTATGGAGACAATCTATGGAAATCTGCAGAAATGATTTCAACAGACTCAAAAAAAAATTTAAGGATTTACTTATCGACTTACTTTCGATCATAATTTGCCATATTTGAATAAATATAATGAACCCCTTTTCCATACTAAGCTTATTTGAATAACTAATAAGAAATATAAAATGCCTCTGAATCAGTTTTGTTTAGCGAATAAATTCCAAATATTGAATCCATAAGATTTAAAACAAAGCTCTGATCAAAACAATATGAAAATACAATTTCTGTCTGCTGCTGTTTGCATCATAGGTGTGACTTCAATCTAAAATTCAGTTATTAATCTCAGCTGCCAATTAATATTTATTTTATTTACCAAAGGCAGGGTTATTATTGATAACTAAGACTAAAACAAATTAAAACAAATGATAACTTTAAATAAAATAAATATGAACGGAATAAATTTAAATAATAAATCTAGTTGACAAAGCAACATTTCTCATCTTCATTTAGTTTAA